CGCTTTATTTAATACCAACTCAGGAGGCAGAGCTAGGTACAGCTCTGGGAGTTCAGGGCCATCCTTGTTTACATAGCAATGCAAGTTCCACACCAGCTGGAGGGTGTGGTATAGAGTTGGAGGTCCACCTGGGCTTACAAACCCTTACACACACACACACACACACACACACAAGGAAAGGAAAACATCAGTTCAAAAAGAAGGTACTGAGATGGCTCAGTGGGAATGGGTGCGTGTTGCCAAGCCTCCCAAAAGGAATTTGAGCCCCAGGACTCAAATAGTGGAAGGAAAAAAGTGATTTCCACAAGTTGTCCTCTGACTTCAATGCTTAAGCAGTGGCATGTAAATGCCTCCACAACTACAAAAAGGGAAAAAGAAAGGAAGGCAGGCAGGCAGGCAGGCAGGAAGGAAGGAAGGAAGGAAGGAAGGAAGAGAGCTGAGGGCTGAAGGGATGTGAACGCCACACAAACCTGTAAGCACCAGAAACCATCAAAAGTTATTAAGCAAAAGAATTAGTCAGATTATATGCATTAAAAAAATAACTCTGGGTCACTATCAAATCAGAGCTCTGTTTCTCTCAACAACTAGCAGGATTGTTGCAGGAAACAAGGCCTTTCTATCAGAAGGATTTCTGGAGCAGGCTTTTAAAACAGAAGCTCTGGGCCCGGGCTTGGGTGTCAGGAGAGGTCACATGTCTCCCATTAACGTGATTCCTGTGACTCTGAAGTCAGAGAAGAGGATCAGAGGCCATTAGGCACTCTTTGCAGTGACCTCATTGAGAATCCAGTGTGTCATTCCTGACATCTTTCATCCCAGCTCGCAGGAGGCAGACGCAGGCAGATCTCTGATTTCCAGGCCTGTCTAGTCAAATATAGTAAGTTTCAGGTCGGCCGGAGCTACGTCGTTACTAAAACCCTGTCTCAAAACACAGCAAAAAACCCAAACAAAACAACAAAACAAACAAAAACACAAACAAACAAATTTCAAAAAGACAGAGAAAGCAGATCTGAAAGTGACATCACCACCCCCTCCCCAAGCTCTGAAAGAACAGAATTGTTAAGGAACCAATTGATAGACTACAGTGAGCCTTCCACATTGCCAAATTATGCTATTAGGAGGGAAAGACGATTTGACGTTTAAGGGATGTATAGCTTACTTGCAAACACCACAAGTCGCTGCCCACAAGGACCTTTTGAATTTGGAGGCCATCTGACCATCCCCAGAGATACGAAAGACTGCCTTTTTGCTAAGTAGGACATTTGATACTTTAAGGACTACACTTCGGAATGGTAAAGCACTCACACGCATTAGCTTACGTAGGTGCCAGGAACTCCCCAGAGTTAGGGACAGGACTCAGTTCCAATAGACAGATCAATCGTGGGATAAAAAGTGCCGCACGAAGGGCAGGACATTTTGTTTGTTTATTCGTGGGTCTCCTCAAACACTGCCTCTGATCCTGGATGAGGCTCCTGTACTAAGGTACGTCGAATAATTCTGTGCACTTGTTGGTAATTCTTCACGTGGAAAGATAAACAAAAACAGAGATAAACCCCTTGGGTGTGGTAGTAGACCTGTAAACCCAGCAATCAGGAAGCAGGGAAGGGCCGGTCTGAGTTGAAGGTCAGTAGGGACTAAATAAATTTCGTTTTAAAAAAAAGTGAAATAAACGGTGGAATGTCATGCAAAATAAATAATCCTGCACAGAGAACTGGGATTATCTTTCCTTCATCCTCTGTCCATTCAACACCCACTTA